ATCCATCCATCCATCCATCCATCCATCCATCCATCCATCCATCCATCATCTTTACCCGCTTCTTTCTTTCTGGATCACTGGTACCCATATCCAACAGTCTCTGTTTGAGAGGCGGGGGAAGCCCTGGACAGGTCTCTAGTCCATCACAGGGACACCTGGACAGGCCTCTAGTCTGTCACAGGGACACCTGGACAGGTCTAGTCCATCACAGGGACACCTGGACAGGTCTCTAGTCTGTCACAGGGACAGCTGGACAGGTCTCTAGTCCATCACAGGGACACCTGGACAGGTCTAGTCCATCACAGGGACACATAGAGACAAACGAGTCAAACAACCATTCTCTCGCTCCTTCTCTCTCTCTGAGAGGCAACTGGTACCAACTGTGCCACCGTGCCGTCCAGCATACAATAGATTAAAAATAAATAATAATTATCTATTTTTTTTATTGTTGTTTACTAGTAATCTCATGGGATAAACACAACATGGGAAAACAAAAAAACTTCCAGTAAAGTAAAAAACAGCACTTCCTAAAACGAAGCGAGCAGGAACTCGAGCCCTCCTCCTCCTCCTGCCAGCCTCTTGCGGTAAACCTGCTGCACGCCACCATGTTGCAGTTTCACCGTTACCACGGCAACCGGGCAACACTGACACGCACGAGCGCTTCCTCTGCGATTGTGCCACGCGCTCTTGGCGCTGAAAGCGGTAAGCTAAGATGCCATTTGACGTTTCTGACGGTATTTGAGCGGTTTGGACCGTGTAGCGTCAGCTCGCCTTAGGGAGAGTTTCATTCTTGGTTTCTTTCCGGGGCGTTAGAAACTTCCGCTCGTCTTCTTTGGTGAGACATCGTCATTTGCATAAAATCTGCCCAACTTTGTTCCAGCTGTTAGCTAGTACACGATACGTTTTAAGCTAGTGTTTCAAAGTTGGCTAATCAACTCCGAAGATGCTGCTCAGGACACCTGTGCACGAGTTAACGCAGGTGTTTTCTTCATTTGACAGTTCGTTTTAGTTTGTTCATTTTCAGCCGAAATAATTTCACTTCAAACACGTTCCTGTTTTTTCTGTCGTATGCTGAATATTTCTAACTTCCCTGTTAAATTTAGCTTTAAAACGTTATGTGTTGCTAATCTTGTTGTTTTACCGTACAGTTGGCACCATCTTCATTAACTCAATGCATCTCAACTTTATTTATGTCATAAAGCCCCAAAGAGTGTATTTTTTCACTTTTTGGAGGATTTGAGTTTTTTTTTAATAATGAATAATAATGCACAGTGTGTGTCAAACACAAGGCCCGAGGCCTTGTTAACATCTTATCTGCCCTCAAGATGATATTTTAATATAAAATATTGTATTTTGCGTCTCTAATTTTGAATAAATGAAGCTTTATTTGTCATTGGCTCAAGTACAACACAATTGCAGAGCATCTCTCAAGGTTCCTGTAAAGGAACAGGTGGGTTGGGTGCACAGCACAACACATGCACATTGAATATATTAAAAAGCTTTAAAAGTTTGTGTAGATTCAATTCAGTTCAGTTTATTTATATAGCACCAAGTCACAACAGAAGTCATCTCAGGGCACTGAACAGAAACGTTCATATACATATATAAAAAATAATTTAACACTATTTATCTGAGGAGCAGACTGCTTTGAATTTAACTCCATGGCAGAACTCTCATCGTGAGAAAGCACAGTTTGTGTGTAGCTGTAATGAGTATGTCATTGCATATGTGTTAAAAAGTGTGATGGCTTGTGGAGAAAAAACTGTCCCTGAGTCCAGTGGTCCGGGTCTTGATGGACCTGTAGCGCCTGCCTAAGGGCAACAATTCAAAAAGATGTTCAGAGCAAGGTTGTTGACTGAACACCACGTTAGTCTCAGGACTTCATCCCTGTAGGCAGACGTCTCCCACAGAGATCAACCCCACCACTGTAGTATCGTCTTCACTATGGTGTTACTTTTGTGAGCTGGGTTACAGTCATTGGTGTAAAGGCGAAAGAGAAGGGAGGCTCAGCACACATCCCTGTGGAGAACATGCACTGAGTGTAAGGGAGGAGGACAAATGATGGCCAAGTTTCACCATCTGGAGTCAGACAGGGAGGAAATCTTTGATCCAGTGGCAGGTAAAAGGGAGGAGACCTATGTCAATCAGTTTGCTGACCAGGACGTCCAGTAGAATAGTATTTAAGGCTGAGCTTTATTCAACAAAGAGCATCCTGATCTTCCAAAGGTGGCTCAGCTCAGAGCCATCGCAGAGTCAGTACAACTCATTTTGCAGAAAAATCTAGCTTACTTTATTTAATGCAGACTTCTCATGACAGCTGGTCAACTTTGAAGCAAAGTTTATTTGAATTTCTCAGTAATCTTTGATACTCTTGTGGAAAAAGCAGCAGCGAACTTCAAATAAACCTGCAGCCAAGAACATATGTCAGTATCTGACTTGAGTTAATGTACTGAAATTGGTCTTTGGTTTGAACCAGGTTTTAATTTTGGCCCCTTTTTGTAACCGAGTTTGACGCCCCTAAACCCATCTCAGTGTGACCATTTCCCCCTCGTCATTTACATCTTTCTTCACATTGTTTAGTTTTCTTAGTAAATAAACGTTATATTGGAAACTTAATGAGAATTAATGGGATAAAAAATAATCTTATCTACAAAGATAATTAATTAGGTGAAACTGTGATAAAGCTCTTAAATAATTCATTCCAAATGAACGACCTTGCATTCCTTGAAGAAAAGCATAATCGCCTGCAGCCCTTCATGCCAAGGTTTTAGTCTGAGGTCATCTTATGAAATTCTGACGTTGTAATGAAACCTGGTCAAACTTCAAAAATAAGGTTTTATGTAATCTTAATCTCAGAATATGTGCAAATAATCCCAACTCCTCTCAACTCCCACCATCAAATTTGAGCTTCATGTCTGTAAATCTGTCTGAGCTATAGCCATTTTTCTTTAGGCTAAGATTAGCTGTGGCGGCCATCATGAAATTGTTTGGCACCAAAAGTTATTTGGTTGTAGGTGCACATGTAATAATTACTTCCAAAAAGTATCTTTAAAATATATCCTGAGATTCATGAGATATTTTGCTAACAGACAAGCTGAAAATACAGTAGGGTTGACTCAAATGACTCTCAGCTGCTGTAGCCAGGGGCCTTTCTGGGTGGAGTTTGCATGTTCTCTCCGTGCTGCGTGGTTTTCTCCAGGTACTCTGGTTTCCTTCCACAGATCAAAAACATGCATGTTAGGCTGAGTGG